TTTTCCAGCCTCCAGAGGCTGGGGGAGGTTGTTTTCGCCCTCCTGGAGGCTCGAGAGAAAGCCTCTGGAGGCTGGAAAAGGCAAAAAAGTCCCCCCCCCCCCAGTGGTGCAGGAGGCTGACTAGGCCACACCCACCCTGGCCACACCCACTCAGCAACCAGGCAGATAAACCGTTGCTGAAATTTTTGAAGCCCATCCCGGCTCTCAAACCTGGAAATGATCAAGGGGCAGTAGGTTAACAATTCAGGAACAGGGTGGGGAATCTATGGTTGATCAGATATTGAGGAAGTACTACTCCCAATAACTCCAATCAGTACAGCCTATATAGCATGGAAAGCTGGAAGCTGTGGTTCAACAACATGGTGGAAGGTTATGTGTTTCCCACCTTTGAATAAAACAATAAGCATGCATAGGGTTTAACCCTAATTTTAAAACGATCACCCCCAGACGTATCTCTGTGCCTCCCATTCTGCACTTATAACTATAGGTAGTCCTTGACTTATGACCAAATTGAATTATTGCTGAGTGAGATATTTGTGAAGTGCATTTTTCCTCATTTTATGACCTTTCTTGTCACAGTTGTTAAGTGAATCACTGCAGTTGGTAAGTTAGCAATCCGGTTGTTAAGTGAATCTGACTTTCCCATTGACTTCACTTGTTAGAAGTTTGCCAAAAGGCGTGACATGACCCCCAGGTTCCTGTAATTGCCATAAATATTGCCAGTTGTGATTTATATAATCTTGAAGTTGCACATGGAATGAAAAACACAGAGGCTATTTTTGGGGGGGGTCACACATACTGTACTATGGGATCTGCCTGTGTGGTGCATACGTAAACAGGGGTCTATTCACTCAGGCACAAAAACCATTTTTGTTTTTTAAACACATTTATATGGCCACCCAACTCACACCCAGTAAATCCAGAAATAGAGCAGAGGTGGAAATCAGGTGTTGTCTGATTCTGGATGTTATTTTGCCTAAACCATCCAAGGTGGACTATTAATTTAGCT